TTATTTGGTTGTAAGATGTTACAGTTGGTAGTAAGTTGTTATTGTTGGTTGTAAGATATTACAGTTGGTTGTAAGATATTACAGTTGGTTGTAAGATGTAAAAGTTGGTTGTAAGATGTTATAGTTGGTTGTAAGATATTACAGTTGATTGTAAGATGTTATTGTTGGTTGTAGGATGTGTTACAGTTGGCTGTAAGATGTTATTGTTGGTTGTAAGATATTACAGTTGGTCGTAAGATATTACAGTTGGTTGTAAGATATTACAGATGGTTGTAAGATGTAAAAGTTGGTTGTAAGATGTTATAGTTGGTTGTAAGATGTAACGGTTGGTTGTAAGATGTTATAGTTGGTTGTAAGATGTAACGGTTGGTTGTAAGATGTTATAGTTGGTTGTAAGATGTAACAGTTGGTTGTAAGATGTTATAGTTGGTTGTAAGATATTATAGTTGGTTGTAAGATGTTATAATTGGTTGTAAGATGTTATAGTTGGTTGTAAGATGTAACAGTTGGTTGTAAGATGTTATAGTTGGTTGTAGGATATTATAGTTGGTTGTAAGATGTTATAGTTGGTTATAAGATGTTATAGTTGGCTGTAAGATGTTACAGTTGGTTGTAAGATATTACAGTTGGTTGTAAGATGTTACAGTTGGTTGTAAGATGTTATAGTTGGTTGTATGATATTATAGTTGGTTGTAAGATGTTATAGTTGGTTATAAGATGTTATAGTTGGCTGTAAGATGTTACAGTTGGTTGTAAGATATTACAGTTGGTTGTAAGATATTACAGTTGGATGTAAGATATTACAGTTGGTTGTAAGATATTACAGTTGGATGTAAGATATTACAGTTGGTTGTAAGATATTACAGTTGGTTGTAAGATGTAAAAGTTGGTTGTAAGATGTTATAGTTGGTTGTAAGATATTATAGTTGGTTGTAAGATGTTATAATTGGTTGTAAGATGTTATAGTTGGTTGTAAGATGTAACAGTTGGTTGTAAGATGTTATAGTTGGTTGTAAGATGTTAAAGTTGGTTGTAAGATGTTACAGTTGGCTGTAAGATTTTATGGATTTCAACCATCATGGCAATATTCTTCAGATCAGGTGAGCTAATTATGGTCTGGACAAGACTTGGCTGTGAATTTAGCATATGTGACTTTTGACCGTTATGTGAAGGTAACACTGACCTAATTACTGTACACAACACCTGGAGGTAATGCAGGTGGACTTCAGGTTTCATCAAAATGTATGTAAAAGTTTCAAAAGTTTGCAACGACAAGATTTTGCTGGAAATTTCCACTATTTGACTTTGAGGTTAACATTGTAGTGACTTAATTAGTGCTTTGCACATTTAAAATGGCTGATGCAGAAGCACTTTCAGTTTCAAGATACTTTTCACCTTTAGAACTTATGGCATAGACAAGATTCACTGAAATGTTTCAATAATTTGACATTGACCTTGAAGTGAAAGTAACAGTGATCTCATTGGAAATGTCGCCAGGTTGGCAGACTTCTACCCCTAACCTGCACCAAGAACCAAAGGAATCGTTCTTGTAATTTTTTTTTAAACAAATGGCACCACTTCAGAAATGGGGAGGTAACTCCAACTTATAAACATTATTCACATCCTCTCAATACAAGCGAACATGTACCAAGTTTAATTCCAACCCATGCAGGGCGGAGCGGGCACATAACTCTTCACATGTCATCAAAATATCTTTTTACCAGTTTCAAAAATACGGCCTTGACAATAATTTGCTGGCAACTTTGCACTCCATTGCCCTTTATTTGACCCTAAAGTGAAGGTCATAGCGATGTTATTACAGTTATGCATACTGTGCATCAAGATCTCTTTTGTGGTTTTAATATAATGGTCTTGACAATTATGATTTTATTTGGAATTTTGCATTTATTTGACCTTAGACCTTAAAATGAAGATAACTGTGCAGTGCACACTCCCTCATGGTGATGTAAGGTAACTGTACAGTGTACACTCCCTCAGGGTGATGTAAGATAACTGTACAGTGCACATTCCCTCAGGGTGATATAAGATAACTGTACAGTGTACACTCCCTCAGGGTGATGTAAGATAACTGTACAGTGTATAATCCCTCAGGGTGATGTAAGGTAACTGTACAGTGCACACTCCCTCAGAGTGATGTAAGATAACTGTACAGTATACACTCCCTCAGGGTGATGTAAGATAACTGTCCAGTATACACTCCCTCAGGGTGATGTAAGGTAACTGTACAGTATACACTCCCTCAGGGTGATGTAAGGTAACTGTACAGT